TATCGCATAACCCCATGAAAGCAACGGTAAATGATTTTTTTCCTTAGCTGAAAGTCGCAGAAGAGAACAAGCGAACAACAGAGAAAAGGTCTTTTCCTGCAAAAAAGAGGAAAACACTTGACGGACATCGACAATATACGCCAAGATCGGCAGTTTGATATAATCGAACATATCAGTGTTAATTCCGCGATAATCAGGATTCGAGCCAATTGTAATTTCCGCGAAAATCAGTATTTAAAGGAGCAACGCCGGAAATGCCCTTTTCTCCATCAAAGAGTGAATCTGGTCGAGAAAATCGAAATTTCCAAGACATATACTATATCCTGAAAGAATGGAAATTCTCAGTTCGACATTTGAGCACAAATGAGGATTCGAGCTAACAATAGGATATTGCCATTTCCTGCATGACGTATTCGAGATGCAAAATTACCGGTAAGGTAGAGTAAGGTAGACTCACCGGTAATTTACAAGTAAAGTAAGGGAAAATTACGGTTTTTTACCGATGTATTGGCACTATTGTAGGAAATTCTCTTGAGTCAAGAATCTACCAACTATCCATAGCTGTTAGATTGCTGTACCAAGTTTCAGTCTCTGATCACGTCTAGAACACGGTTAGAACTAGCGTCACCATCGTCTCTATATATTAGATGGTCCAGCATTGGGTCTAGTGATACGACAATGCACAATAAATGGAAATGACGCAATATTTCGAATTTGGGAAATACCTCCATTGGATGAGGCTGCATTATACTTTGGGACAGTATTCCAGTCAAGAAATATAAAGAAGTACTACGCGAGTCGGAAAATCAAACTGCTCTCTTCAGATAGCACAGTGCTCACTAAAGCAAATGATTTGCTAAGCTTGCCATACAGAGTTTATTGCTGGGGCAGGGTTTTTGGTTGTGGGGATCAATATAAATTTCCACGCAAATTGGAATCGAGGGAACAAAAGAGACGATGCCTTATCTGCAAAAAATGTACAGGGAAAAAAAGGTGGTGGCGAATATCGACACTATGCACAAACATCGCCAGGTGCTATAAAATCGAGCATGGGAATGTAAATTTCCATGACTGCCAGGATTCGAGCGAACTACGGCGATTAGGACATTTCCTACATTAAAGAGCAAAACTGGCGGACAATATAGACATATTCCACTGAAATCACCAATCGCGAATGAATCCAGCATATCACTTACAGCGAAAATTTGGATTCGAGAGAACAGTGATGATGCGTTTTGTTGCAAAAAAAAGGAAAACTGGCGGCGTCGACATTATGCACATGGTTCGCCAGTTCCGAAAGCATGGAGCATGTCAGTAGTAATTTACGTGAAATTTTGGATTCGAACGAAAAACGGTGATGGCAATGATATTGGCAAATGACATTGTCTACATGAGATGGCTAAAATGGTGGGGAATATCGATATTACGCGCAAAGATCGCCAGTTGCGATATAATCGAACAAGTCAGTTAATTTCCGCGACTACCAGTATTCGTGCGAACTACGGTGAATATGACATTTCCTGCATGAAAGAACTAAACAGATGGAAAATATCGATATTTTGCAAAGCGTTCTCATGTTGCGAATGAAATGAGTAAAATAGTGGAAAATTCCGAGTCAAATGGATCCCAGCGAACAACAGTGATAATGCGTTTTCTTGCAAAAAAAAGAGGAAAACACTTAGTGAACACTGAACATTATGCACAAGGTTAGCCAGTTCCGAAAGCATCGAACATGTGTTAATGAGTGCTAATTTGCGGGAAACATTTGGATTCGAGCGAACAATATAGACATTTTACACAAAAATCTCCAATCGTGAATGAAGCTAGCATGTAAGCGTAACTTCCCGCGAAAATTTGGATTCGGGAAAAGAAACGGTGATGATGACATTGTCTACATGAAAGCGCTAAAATGGTGGGGAATATCGACATGATGCGACATGATGAAAAATGTCCAAATTTACAGATGGAACCATCTAAAGTATCCAGCCTGAACGTAGCTGGATGCAGCAACTGGAATTATTGACTGGGATACGCATTGAATGTGTTTTTCCTGTTTAAATCCTCAATAAATTTGTTGGCGGCTATGATACCGAAGGTATAGCATCGCGCTTTCTTCCTATTTCATCGTTTTCATGTCGATGATAGGAAACGTACGTTATTAGCATCTCAAGTGTTTTTAATTACGAGGGTGGTTCAATACTTACCTGCACTTTTCATCATAGAAAATATTTCGCACATCTGATTTTGTATCAAGCTAAGCATACTTCTCGAGGTATACATACTTCTATTACACGGACGTACTTGTCTCATTCCATTAGCAGCTCCTGAAGACTATGGAGATGAGAATGATTGTGGTCGAGTGCGGTGCCGTTTCACCACTTCATCATGACCATGATGTTCTTCGGCCAAGATGATGCTGAATGTCGACTTCGAATGCTTGAGCGTTTTCAGATTGACGTTGAAAGATGAATCCACTTTTTCATCGCTCGTCAAAGGAATTTGTCATTCTCTTCCTCGAAGCAGAAGAAATGAGTTCGACGCGTCGCTCACTTCTGGTCGAATGTCAGATCTCTTGATATTTCATGAAAATTTCGCCAACCCCTGTTTCACTCTTTCATGTAGGAAATTGCACTTTCACAACAACAAACGGAGATACTGCTCAGTTCCGAGAAGAAATAATGAAAGAGGCATAGATATCGTCACTTCTCAATAAGATCGCCAAAGGAGAAACTGTCGGAGGATATCGACATTATGCACAAAGACAGCCAGTTGCTAAAGTATCGAGAATGTCGGTGGTAAATTTCGTGAAAATTTGGATTGGAGCGAACAACGGTGACGCTGCCATGAAAGAGCGATTCGGGCGGAGAATGACAGCATTTTGCAAAGAGTTCGCCAATTTAGAAATAATGGAGTATATTAATTGCAATTTCCGCGAAAATCAGTATTTGAAGAATCAAGAAGCAAGAGTGAATCTGGTCGAGAAAATCGAAATGTACAATATCCTAGATTCTGAAAGAATCGAGATTCTCAGTTCGACATTTGTGCGAAAATGAGGATTCGAGCTACCAACGGGGATATTGCCATTTTCTGCAAGAAGGATTCGAGATGTAAATTTACCGGCAATTTCCCTTTTTTCGATGTATTGCCACTATTGTTGGAATTTCTTTTCAGTCAACAATCTAACAGCTATTTGTGTACCAAGTTTCAGTGTCTTATCACGTCTAGAACATGGTATGAATTAGCGTCAGTCACCATCGTCTCTTTATATTAGATTTATATTAGATATATTAGAGATTATTATTTCATATTAGACATGTTAGAGTCCAGCATTCGGTCTAGTGAAGTGATGCACAATAAATGGAAATGACGCAATATTTCAAATTTGGGAAACACCCCCATTAGATGATTCATTATCGAACTTCGGGACAGAATTCCAGTCAAGACATATAAAGAACTACTACGGGAGTCAGAAAATCAAAATGCTCTTTCCAGATAGCACAGTGCCATACATCGGAACATACGAGGTGTGGCAAAGTTCCAGGACTGTTTTTTGTGAGTCCGTCACAAAAATTACTTCCATTCCATGGACTAATAGATTCAACTGTTGGATAGTGTAGTCTTCAACTGACTAGCATCTTGAGAGTTTGGCTAGAATTGTAGTAACTCAGTGTGTAAGACGTCTGCCATATTCCCAGAGTGAATAAATGCTGCATCACATTTTGTTTCAAACCGGTTCTATGCTTACGAGACACCAGTTGCTCGAGCATGTCAATGTAAATTTCCACTACTGCCAGGATGCAAGCGAACTTCGGTGATGAAGCCAGTTCCTACATTACAGAGCGAATCTGGTAGGCAATATAGACATTTTGCACTAATAACTCCAATCGCGAATGAATCGAGAATGTAAGTGTAACGGCGAAAATTTGAATTCGAGAAAACAACCGTGAAAATGACACATTTTTCCTACATGAAAGAGTGAAACAGGCGGAGAAAATCATCACTTTCCAATTAGATCGCCAGTTGCGAATGAATTGCGTAAATGATTGTAAATTTCCGGAAAAATCACTGCTCGAGCGAACAAGGCTGATATTTTCCTGCAAAATAGAGGGAAACTAGTGATGGATATCGACATTATGAACAAAGATGACCAGTTGCGAAAGAATCGATGATATTAGTTGCAACTTTCATGATAATCAGTATTTGAATAGGCAATGATGGAAATACCCTTTTCTCCATCAAAGAGTGATGATCGAAAAAATCGAAATTTGCTTTCAAGAACTTTGAAAGCAAATCCATGTATTTATATATTACTAGTCCGAATAGAGATGAGCTTCGTCCGAAAAGTTTAGAGAAGTGGAAACAAACGTTGTTGCCATATATGTTGCACGTTTGGAATAAAGAGCATCAAAATAAGGGGAAAAACCAGGAAAAAGAACTGGAAGGTGCAGGTATTCATATATATAAATGATAGGCCATGTCTAAACCTGACTCATGAGTTCCGAAATGTATGCACAGCAACTCAAATTTTAATAAATTCTGTTGATCATTTGCTCTTAAATTTACAAGACAGCTTTTTTTCATTTCAAAGCCAATAATATTCTTCCAGAAGAATGACCAATATTCCATTTTAATTCATAAAATGCACCTCACAGCGATATTTACTTCGTGGCTTCCTTTACGTGACAAGTAAAACTTGTGAGCAGACTGCCCATGATGACGGAAATTTGAATAACTTCATGAAAATTAGTTTTCCGAGTTAAACTTCGCAATTCCGGAATAATCCAAGCACTTACACCAGGTTCCTCATCTACAAAAGGTGGCAATATCATGGGGCGATTGCACAAGCAATGCATGGACGAATTAAGTCGTGCACATCGTCAATCATCTACGGCGCGATTTCTAAGCTACTTCAAGATGTATGTTTTTCAGCATTGCAGTGTATGAATGAGCTAAAAGCGCTTGCTGAGATCAACATATTATATTCCGGATAGCCAAGGAAATCACTTGAGATACGAAATCATGTGACTGCTCCTATGGCGAGTGAGGTTCGTCTTCTGGGAGAAGCTCCTTCCGCACTCCTGGCAGCTGTACGGTTTCGCTCCAGTGTGCGTGCGGACGTGCCTGATCACGTGGAGCCGCTTGTCCGAGCGGTAGTCGCAGAGTCCACAGAAATGCAGACGCTTGTTTTCCCATGTCTTTCCGTGCCATAAATATTCCATGTCGGCTGCAACTGTCTGCAGAAGAAATCCAAGTGGGGATTTTCAAACCAGTGTTAAAATGCATGTGAAATAAACTGCACACGAGTAGTGATGATTGAATAGTGCTAGTCTTCAGTTTGCCTTTTTCCGTTTGTAAGAGAGCTTTTGCAAACGACCAATAATGGCCGAAAGTAAATCCATTCCAGCTCAGTTTCCACAATACATATATGCAAATTTTGAGCTTGTCTTCTCGACCCTTCCTGGCCCACACGCACGCCAATCAAGCAATTCATTTTGGAAGTCAGCTGCAAACAACCATTCCGTGCAGTCTTTCAGTCAGCAGTCAACCATTTCTCTTCTTCGCCAGAGCAAGCCTCTGCACATACACACACATAGACGCAAACAGCCATGCATACACGCTAACATTGATGACTCATCCCAATTCTTCCACCAATTCCAGTGCAACATCAAGAGTCATTTCCAAACTCGTATTCCATTTGCAGTTGGGGCAGATCCCTTGTAGGATGTGCCATACTCGCTGGTCTACACGAGGGTTCAACATTCCACACCGTCCTCGGATGTAATGACAGGTCTGCGCTACTTTCTTTGTCCATTTCACACCCCCTCTTTATCCCATCAGAACTCAGTGTGCAACCGTTTTTCACCAGCTATTTTAAGCTCTCATCTACCACCATTGGGGATTTGAAGTAGATCCCCAGAGTGAAGAGACTACGAAGAAGAACTCCGATCAGGGGAGTTCTTTTCCAATCTGCGCTAACACCAACCTTGCCTACAGGTAACTTCTCCCAGTACGCTCCACATTAAAAATAAATTAACAGTATTTTATTCCCATCTGTTTTCATGCTAAATTGATGGAATTAAATAAAACATGACAATGTGGGAACTAAGAGCAATGCTGTACAAATTTATTTACATGACTCTAGTCTCTGGGACATAGTCATGAGAAGAAAGAAGTGCTTTGGATCAAAAAATGAGTGTAGGCAGTTTTCAAATGAGAGTTTACCTGAATATTTATTCTCAGTTATTACCTTTATTATTATTAACCCTGGCTACTTGCCTCTTATGATTGCCTTGGTTAATGCCAAATGAAAACCCTCATTAACATTCTACTTAAACTAGTTTACTAAAATTTCATATCAAATAAATATACATCCATCCATCCAGTTTGCATGTTTAACGTGCATAAAAGAACTACGACTCAACTAAACATTCACTTCCAGGCCTTCATTTTTGTGAAGTCCTTACTCAAATTCAGTTATTTTGAGTCATACTTACATGAGCTCCTTGCAAGATGCTACATTACTTCTGAAAAACTCTCAAGACGTACGTTAGAATCCTTTTTTACGGCACAAACAGCACGGTTGAATACGGAGAAGATTCAGCACGACGAAACAATTTCGGCTCAATCCGATTGTGGATTGACCCGATTGTCAGTCAGCAGTTGCTGACTGTGACATCAATCACTTAAAGGAC